ACACACACACACACACACACACACACAAACACACACACACACACACAAAAGCATGTGAAAATCTAGATTACTAAATAGCTCAGGATCACTGAATCAATACCCACTGAACCTGATGCAGGAAATAAAATATGAAAAGAGTATATCTCCTGACCTGTCAGATATCTAATATGCTGAGTTTGTATTCTCTAAAAATTGATGAATGAATTCTAGGAACAATGAAGGTTAAGAGTAGGAAAATATTTATTGAGAGGATAGCTCCTGAGAGGCAGAAGAAGACCCAAATGGGTAGCTAATGGCCCCACTTCACAGGGAAGTTTTACAGAGCAAAACCCATGTTGGTATAACATGGGTTACAGCCATGATTAACCAATAAGGTTACAAGTATAGTCATTTAGATAATAGTGATCCGATGGGGAAACCAGTCATGTAACAAAGTGTACATGGAAAGAACAAAGACTTTTCTAGGAAATGATGGGTCTGAGGCCTTGGTAACCCACCACGGAGACTGATGTCTATTTAGACTTCATTAGATCTGGTATTTGTCTTTTGAGGAAGTATGCAGGCCTGGTCATTTCATCTTTGTTTTGAGGTTTGGTCTCCAAAAGATGTATCTCTGTCCACAGTTGTGATGTGTTTAACCCTTGTTCTGACTCTCTTGAGGGTCTGTCCCTATGTGACTGCCTGTAATATTTCTAACTTAGCTGTCTATACTATTGCCCCCTCTGGAGAGGTAGTGCGTCCTATGTGGGTGGAAGGGGTGATGACCATCCCAGCTATTTAAGGCTGATGGGGGTGGTAGTTGTGATCAGAAGTCAGAGATACTCTCCAGAGGGTCTATCTAAAGGCCCTTAATAGACATCAGGTGTTCTTGTTTGAGCAGGCATATAGCTTTAAGTCTGAAGGAGCAAGGCCAAGAAACTGTTGAATATAATATGCTTGGGCCAAACAATAAGATAAAAAAGATTCTTAAAAATAAAATCAATAAATGTTTATACCAAGAAGAGCCAGTAATAGCCTTCTACAAAGAGGATAAGAAAGAAAATTTAGAATCTGATATCACCTTAATTTGTCATTTAATATATTGAACAGCCATTGAGGTATTAGCAGAAGTATCAGGAATGAACATACACCACTCTGCATTTATAACTGCATAAGTGCCCCCTTGTGTTGTAGTCAGGGTGTTTCATGTCACCTGATTTTGGAGGACAACTAGCCTCATTACTTTTATTTCTTCATTTAGAAGAGAGACACCAGTTGAAGTATCTTTAATGCCCATTGTGTATAGACAAGTCCTCAATGTGTTGCACAACATCCTCTAATCCTAGAGAAGGGTCAAAGGTAGAAGCCGAATGATCATACCAGTGTGCAGAGAACCACCATATTGATTATACCCTTAACAGGCTGGAAGCAGTGAAACAGTGCAGGCTGTAAAGAGTTAACCCTTTATTTGGCTTGTTTTGAGAAGTGAGCCTACATGCTGAGGTCTGAGTAATTCACACCTATATTCCATCCCCATGATTCAAAGCTTCTTAACTAGAAAGACAAGGTTCCAACTACAACTCTGTATTTTGTCTATCCCATTCCTAATTCAAGAATGCTTTGTCTTGTCTTTTACAAGCCTTGTTGCATTAGTATCTATAGTAATCGTATGAGCATGTCCTCATGTGTAGTTCCACTTCAGCATGTAGTTTGCCCTTACATCAATTGATTACCAATAAAAATCAGTGGCTTTGACCGACCAATGCCTTTGTTGTTTGCTCAGCATTGGCTGTCCTCGCACCCTGGTTTCTCTGTCTCTTTAGTTTTGTCTTTGTTTTTTCTCAGCCTTGTGCCATAGCGCCAAAAACAGATCAGAACCTACTTCAGAGGTCTCTGACACCAGCAAAACACACTTTTAGACCATCAATGTTGTAGACAAGGTAAGTTTGTAGATTTATTAATATTTTTGTCTCTCTTGCCTTATAATCATGCAAATCCCTGTGTGTATCTCCCTATCCATCTACAGGGTAGCCAGGTCCACAAATTGGTTCTACAGGACCAATAAGTGCCACTGGGGTCTTCCCATCTAATTTGAGGGTGACTTAACCAGTCAGTTGCAAATAATTCTTTGACCTGTAAAATTATAGGGTATATACATTGCTTGGGGGTGTGTCATCCTAAATATTTAGTAGACTTAGGCCAGTGAGAATAGGAGTGATTTTTTTGTTTTGTTTCAACATAGGGGACCTTTCTACTAAGTTGTCCTATAATTGGGGTTAACCCTATATAATCATCCCATATCTAAAAGCAGCCATTTTGATATCTATGATAAAGGTCAGCTATTGGTGTAATGAGAAACTGTCAGAAAGGGTTAGTGATTGGAGCCCCTTTCTATATCTAGCCTGTAGTACTATGGCATTGTTTAATATATCTTTTGGTTATACTTTTCTGCTGGGTGCTTAAGACCAGGTTAAAATGAAGCCTACATTGATCAAACCTCTATCAAGGTCGGTTGAGCCTTCTCAGGCATTATTTTTGGAACTGTATAGAGTCTTCTAGCTTCTTTATCAGTGTCAGCTGTGAGAATGGGTCATTGTCTTGTTTGACTGTGCTGCTTTCTGTGAAAGCATGGAAATTACTTTTCTTCCTGGTGACCCTCCATTGGGATAGGGAAAGGGTAATGGGATGTTGCCAGAGACCCCTGCAATGGTCTTGGCCTCTTGAAAACTAGTATAATGTCCATGACATAGGAAAGTGGGAGTTAAAAGAAATATAGACAAAGAGTTGGGAGAAATTGAGTCTTGGGCTGATCTAAGCTGCTCTGGGCAGCAAAGACAAAGAACTCCCAGGCCATCCAGTGCTTATTTATTACAAGTGTGGGAAGGGAAGAAATTGGGCAGGCCTTGGAACACCTGCTTATAGCAAATGTGAAGCAGGCAGGACTGTAGAATGGGGGCACAAGCATATCTTTGCTGAAGAGAACAAATGGCTAACTCAGAGAGGAGAATTTAGCTAGAGCTGAGTTGACCTTGGCTGGAAATGAACTTAGCTGATTAGACTACTTCCAATGTAACACAGCCAAATTATGAAAGGGCAAGAAGCTTGTGCCACTATAGCTGTTAATACTGGGTAGAAGTATCTGCTACACTTTGGCACATATTTGTTGATTTTTGTCCTCTAGAGTCCAGTGATCTCCCTGCTCAGGAGGTTGGGTGATTCACCAATGTTGTAGGATCCTGTAGAAAAGCTTCACTCAAATTCTGGGTCTTCATTGAACTTGGAGGGCCAGGGCCAAAATACTGTCTGGTTTTTTGTGTTTGTTTGTTTGTTTTTTAGCCCAATTACCTTTCTAGCTCTGGTCTTTAAAATTCAGTTGTTGAACATCCAGCAGAGGTCAGTTATTTCAGTATTGCAGTGGGAGAGGTGAGCTTAACTATTATAAACTCATCAGGATATCCAACACTTTGAAATATACCATATAGCCAGAAGACTTTTTTAAAATTAAAAATGGTTGTTTTAGAAGTTAAATCTTAGTAGAATGTTATCAGGTAACAATCATAAAGTTTATAGAGAAAACAGTATATTAGCATGACAATTATGATAATATCTTTGAAACACATTTAAATATTTATCTTAGTATAGAATAGCTTTTTATTTTTTAGTCAGTCATCTCTGTCTAATACAAAAAGAAGCTCTTATTTAATTTGGTATCCTTCCATAGGATATCACTAAAGAAGCATGTGACATTGTCTGGACTGCTCAGTGTCTGAGCATCTCTAAGTGTAGTGACATGTATATATCTCACAACACATAAACTTTTTTAAAAAATAAATTTTATTTTATTTTATTCCATTCCCTTCTCAGGTCCCATCCTCTCCCTATGTATAGAAGCTTTGTTTCCATTTTTTCCTTCTATTTTCATTTTTTTCTTGTCTCTTCTTTCTTTTCTTTCCACATAAGCTTTTTTTTTTTTTTTTTTTAAAGTTATCAT